TTTTTGGCTATGTAGTTGCAGTGGGCTCTAGCACTTAGATCATTAGAGGTGAGTATTCCAAGGTCCTTTACAGAGCTTGGGTCATCAACAAGATCTTGACTATTCAGCTTGTATTTTATTTTCTGATTTTTTTTGCCAATATGTAAGACAGAGCATTTATTTGTTGAGATTTGAAGTTGCCATTTGTTTGACCATTCTGATACATAGTCAAGATCTTTTTGTAGGGTAGCAGTATTGTCTGTGGTATTGAACAGCTTTACATCATCAGCGAAGAGAACGCAATTGCTCTTACTATGATCACAGAGGTCGTTTATGTAGAGTATGAAGAGAGTTGGTCCTAGAACACTGCCTTGGGGGACACCACTATTGACAGGTACTGGATTTGATAGGACGCTCCCAATTTTGACCATTTGTTGTCTGTTTGACAGGAATGCTTCTATCCAGTTATTCAGTTGTCCAGATACCATAGGATTTTATTTTTAGGAGTAGTTTGTCGTGTACCACTGAATCAAAGGCTTTACAGAAGTCTATGTAGATTGCGTCTATTGCTTTGCCCTGGTCGAGTTGTGTCGTCCATATGTTTTTGCAGTGTAAGAGTTGCAGATTACAGGATAGTTTTTTTCTGAAACCAAATTGTTTATTGGAGAGTAGGTTATTCGTCTCTAAGTGGAGGATGATGGATTGGTTAATAATTGATTCCATGACTTTACAATTTTGTGAGAAAAATAGTTTTGCTGAGAAAGGGAAACAGGTGCATGAGTTTTCCCTCTGCCTTTGGCTTCAGGTGACTATGTGAATAGTTAGAAATGAAGTGTGTTGCTTTAAAAAAAAACATTTAAGGACAATATGTCATGATTTGACTCCCCGGTTGCAGAGAACGTGGTTTTTGACCAGTGTGGCAAGAGGAATGAACGAATACAGATACGGGCTCGGGTTGTAGGAGGTGGACCTGGAAACTCACCTTGGACAGTCAGCATCCGCAATAGGTGAGCAGAATCTGATTGGTGGTGGGAGATCAGGTGGTTCAAAAAATATTGGCTGCAGATACCTTACATGGCAAACCAGAGAATGAATCTTGACAGGAGAAGAATCACCTCTTTTTTTAAAAGAGGAAATCGTAACCCTGTGAGCAACTTTGAACCATCAGTATTGTTACTCATTGTCTTCTGGAGTGGCAGCTCCTAAAAAAAATAGCAAAAAAGGGAAACTTCTCTGTGCTTCCCTGCAAACCAACTAGATGTTCCTATGAGGCTGTTTTGTGCACTTGGATCTCTTTTTACCCAAGACCAGAAACAGGCACATAGTGCACAGCTGTTGAATGACTTGCTGCAAAGTTGCATGTTGCCACCAACCTGGACCCATCCCCCCAAGAGGTAGGTTTTGGGGGGTGGGTTTGCTTCTGTGACATGTGCCACTTTTTTTGCTTTCCAGAGAAGGACTCCATTTCTGCGGAGGATCACTGGTAAAAGAGGAGTGGGTAATCAGCACCCGGATGTGTTTCTCCTCCTGGTAAGCAGAGTTCTGGCAAAACCTATATTAGAAATCCCCTCCCTCCTTTCTTGCACGTTTTTCTTTTTCTTTGATTTCTTTCTTTTTCTTTTTTTCTTTTTTCTTTTCCATTGATTTTTTTGCTAGCTTTTATCATGTGGTTTGAAAGTTTTGATAAAAATTATATATACAACAACCTTAAAGAAAATAAGTTGTCAATTACAAATCATTTTTGTTTTTGTTTTACATTCAGCACTTTCACAGGCCACATAGCTGTCACAGGGTTACTGATGTTTTACTTCTGTCTGTCGTTCAAATCTAGATTATTTTCAGAGGCCAGAAAGGATTTCAAAATTGCATGTTGAAGGAATTAATGCAGTGGTGGGATTCAAATTTTTTTTACTACTGGTTCTGTAGGCATGGCTTGGTGGGCGTGGCGTGGCTTGGTGGGCATGGCAGGGGAAGGATACTGTAAAATCGCCGTTCCCTCCCCACTCCTGGGGGAAGGTTATTGCAAAATCCCATTCCCTTCCCACTCCATTAACCTGCTTTCCAGCTCTGTTCTCCTGTGCAGGGCAACAAAAGAAGACCCAGCCAATCAGACCCAGAATAGATGGGGCCAGGGCCAGTCAGAGCTGGTATTTGCCAGTTTCTGAACTACTCAAAATTTCCACTACCGGTTCTCCAGAACTGGTCAGAACCTGCTGAATACTATCTCTGAATTAATGGCGTTAGTACTGGTATATTGGATGCTTTTGTGCTTTTTATATTCTGTTGAAAACTTTTTTTTAATAAAAAATATTATTTTGGTTTTTACACATATTATCTTTTGCCTATTATTGGTAGCACTCTTGGGCGATGTAGGCTGAAAAGTGGGATATAAATAAAATACAGTGATAAACAAAGCTATATAAATCCATAGGCATATGTATTAAACAGCTGTCATTCACAGACACCAGAGCATGACTAGCTTTGAGTCACTGGACTATTTTGTATCTTTAACTAAGCAAATAGGCTTGCTTGTTGTTTTGCTGAGCACTTTCTTCCAGCACAGAGAGAAGCGGGTAGACAAGTGGACTCAGCTCTCTGGAATGGCAATATTGTCTGGGGGTTAATAAGAGTTGAAGGCCCCACTTCACAGGGTAGAGGCTACCCAAGAAGTAAGGCGGCCCAAGAAAAATGGCTCAGCAATCATCCCTCTGTAGTCTGACTTCAAGGTAACCAAATAACAGGACAAAGTTTGCTAACAGCCAGAGAACAGCCTGAGAACATATCTATAAATAAATCAATCTAAAACAAGCTATGGGTACATTCTGTGATTCATTTTAGGTGGGGGTGACATAAATCTTTCATTTTAAATACTTTTAAATACTTAAAATCAAAGCTTATTGGGGGAAGGCGTCATTGAATCAGGGTAAGTAAGCCAGTTATGTGAAATTGCTTAAAATGCTTACTTTTGGATAATATATATCAGTGGTATGCTTCCTTGTGTTTTCCAAAGAGACTGTGGTATTCATATGCTCATTATCCTCTGATGTCATGACTGAGTATGGATTGGAATTCGAATCTCACTAATCCAAGCCCGAGATTACTCAGAGTGACAGCAGCAATTAGTACAGTGATGAATGCCTGCTTCAAAAATGGTTATGAAAACAAGCGTATGGTATGTGTCCTGTTTGTTGAAGAGAGTATGTTATTTTCCATTATATTTGCTATATAAATGTGACTGCAGTCAGCAGAACTCAAAGGACTTTACCTTTATAGCTGCAGAAAAGTGTCATGAGAGACGGAAATGATTCATATCTTATTAACTTTTCCTACCGGTTCTTGGGAAGCTGCTGTTGAGGGAGAGGCGTCAGTGAACTTGTAACAATTATTAATTCCTCTTCTTGGCAGTGATGCTGACTTAACTGGTTACTACGTCTTGCTTGGAACACTCTTTAAGAACCCTGGTCCTAATGACCCAAACAAACAGGACATTCCTATAATTAAGATTGTCTGTGGTCCCTCTGAGTCACTTGTGGTGATGCTGAAATTGCAGAGGTGAGTGACTTTTCAGATTTTCTGTATCCCATATAGCACGAAAGCAACTTAGTTTGCATACCAAGAGGCGGAGGTCAAGGCTTCCTCAATAGGGGTTGCTAAGAGCCTTCTGCACTGTTGCATTTTGGGATCTGTAAGATATATACTTTGTTGTAGAGAAATCTCACTGAGGTGGAGAATCAGAATGGACCCAATGAAACGAGGCAAAGGAAAGGAACATTTCACACAGTTAGCATACAGTAATGGATGTATTAGACTTGGACAACAGAGGTCCTCAATCTGTCAGTGTGTTCCACCCTCTATCCTGAGCTGTATGGCTTGTGGGGAAGGAGCTGGTGAAGATGGTGGTATGCTGCAAAAAAAAGCTTACAAACAGAAACAATTAAGAGACGTGATAGCAATAGCACTTAGACTTATATACTGCTTTACAGCCTTCTCTAAGTGGTTTACAGAGTCAGCATATTACCAACAATCTGAGCCCACATTTTTACCGACCTCGGAAGGATGAGTCAACCTCGAGCTGGTGAGATTCAAACTGCCGGCAGCAGGCAGTCAGCAGAAGTAGCCTGCAATACTGCATTCTAACCACTGTGCCACCACAGCTCTGTAGGATAGGAATGTCTAGCAGGTAGATTGGGTTATCCAGGGCCAAGACTAAATTTGGCAGCAATCTTACTATTTGAAGATGTTTCTTTTCTTTTCTTTTCTTTTTACAGACAGGCAGCTTCCTTCCTTGGACTTTGCAGATAATGCAAAGTCCAAGGAAGATTTAGATTTCCTTTCCCAGTCAGTTCCAAGAAAATTAAATTAGAATTATTAGATTCAGTGATTCTCAATCAGGTAAGCTGATCTCTTCACGTCTCGTCTAGAAGAAACCTAGCCGTGGTTTTTACCATCAAAGACATCCCTTGTCAGACACAGAGAATTAAGCTGAAATACTATTTATTTATGTCTCCGCTCTTAATTGTTGGATATATTCCTGCTTCAGGAACTGTAACCTGAATCCTAACCAAGGCTGATCTCATATCTTAAAAATCTTTATGAACAAAATACATAATTGCATCTTTAGAAAACATATTCCAGTGCTGTGCTATGGATGGCAGAGCAAAGCAGAGCGAAAACATGAAGCCGGGCAGGAAAACCACATCCTTAATGGCAATGATGCTGACTTAACATTCATCAGTAGGCATTTATCCACATTATGTTACAGTGCTCCCAGCCCTTCTTTGAACTGAGGGAAAGCTGTATTGACCTAACGTTTGCTATCCCATTGCCCTTCTCTATCTTGAACTGGTTGGCTTTGTTTTGTGTTCTGCCATCTGACTTCCCCTCAGGTTACAAAGCCCAATACTATTTACCTACTTCCTTTGGATGGTAGTAAAATATGGGCGGTGGTTATAATAATAAGGGCTAGACTGACTTTAATGTGCCTTACATTTAAGCTGAGGATGAGACGACGGCAACATGATGAGGGTGCAGTGGGGAAAGAGGTGGCCAGGGCAGGTTTGGGTTGTGATTAGGTACAAGTGGGAATTGTCCTGGGACTGAGAAGACAGGATGTACATAGCTTTCAGGCAAAAGGTGTTATATGCTAAACATATTTCCCTGTGTGGTGTATTTTTCTTCCTCTGCTAAAAGTTGCTTTGGTGACTGAAGCTGCTAAAGAAACTGATACAAAGGAGTAGTCAGTTAGTAGCTTTTACAAGAAAACCAGCTTCCATGAATTTGGTTTACAAGAAGGGATTTAATAGATTGAAAACTTAAAAGGCTCACTCAAGGTAGATTCACACAGTCCCCAAGCTTGTGGTGCTTCAAAACAGCTCCCTCCTACTTTCATTTTTTGCTGAAGGCCTCCAAGCAGCAGCTCTCACCATTCATGGCAGAAAGATCAGTCATGGGTGTGATGCCATCCATCCAGCCAAGCTTGGGTGTGCTTGGAATGTGATCAGCACTTTGAAGTGGCTTCTGGGTACAGAACAGAGATGTGTTATTAGTTGCTTTATGCTTGCACTTTCTCACCACAGGCCTGCACTTCTGAATCAACGTGTGGCATTGATCTGCCTTCCACCCGAGCGTTACATTGTGCCCGAGAACACCGAGTGTGAGATTGCAGGATGGGGTAGCACTGGAGGTACAGTCTGGAAAAAAGACATCATCAAACCTAATTGACCCAATCTCTTATTCAAGGAATTCTATCTTGCTGGGACAAGGAAAAAAAAATGTGGCCCCCCCCCCCCCCCCCGGATATAAAGTGTGTGACAATTTAACCATTAGTTCTCAGGAACTGGCTAGGTAATATTCCCCCTCACATTTTTATTCCTTGTCCACTGGGAGAGAAAAACTGGAGCATGACTGGGAATTGAAGTCTGCATGTGTAAGCAGAGCCACAGCCCTGGCAGGATTGTATTCCACATTGTCTAGAATAGTCAGCTTATCAAAATGGAGCTTCTATCAATTCCTTTTTAGGAATTGCTTATTTAGGTTAGTGGAGTTCTGAGTACAAAATTTACTCCACTGACCCAATTCTAAGCAAAAATGTGACCAATGAGTTTAGGATAGTAGCTGATACTTCTTAATTGGAATAATGTTTGATCAGTTATGAAATTTGTCTACTTCTTTAAACCAAAAGGCATCTAATGTTAAGTCTCCTATTGTTTTTTAATAAGGAAGCACAAAAGCCCTCTTTAAATTTTCTACTGCTGTTATGCAAATTTCAGAGGGATATGAAGTTATTAGAAAGTGAAGACATAAATAGGAATACTTTCCATATTGAGAATCTCTCAGAAAAGTAACCAAGACCAAAATTTCCAACATTTTATTAACCAGATATCCTTCCAATTAAGTTACATGAACGATTTTTTAAACTATTGTATGATTCAGGCATTTCAATGAAACTTTATTTAGAACAGATTTCTGAACTCATATTATTAAGGTGATGAAAAAAAATCCTGTTTGAATATTATCAATTTGCCCTATTTGAAATTTGAGTGGTTCATGGCACTATAGAGTTTGATAACTACTTATTGGCATTGTTTCTTAAATTTTCATTTAAGTAATACAGATTTTTAAAGGGACATTGGCATATCCTGACTATTAACTACCTTGATATTTAGCATTTTGAAAGGCTATCATGTTGTTGGGATGGTTTGGATGATGTGGGTAATAACACTGACTTGATTATTTATTCATGTTTATACTGCATGTGCCTAGCCAATAATATTCTTATCTGGGCAGTCTGTTACATAAGATGAGAAATACACAATATCATAATAAACTGCAGCACAAATATTTTTAATACAGCACGTAGCAACTCTGCTAAACAAATAATTCCCTCAAATTTGTCAAACTATTTACTAAGTCTGCATTACTATTACTATTAATCCTCCCATCCTTCCTTTCACTCATCTCCTCCCACTTATGACTGTATGACTGTAACCTTGTTGCTTGCATCCTAACAATTTTTATTGACTGTTTCCTAGTATGATTTGATTGCTTATTGTACCCTATGACTATTATTAAGTGCTGTACCTTATGATTCTTGACTCTTGATGAATGTATCTTTTCTTTTATGTATACTGAGAGCATTTGCACCAAGACAAATTCCTTGTGTGTCCAATCACACATGTCCAATAAAGAATTCTATTCTATTTATCTAGATATAGGAATAAAAATATACACTCCAGCATATACATACTGATTCTGTTGTAAAAGCTCAAACTTTTTACAGGTGTGAGCACATAAAAAGCTAACCACCAACAAATTACCCAAAAGTAATACGAGGTGGCTGAAGTGAGTTGTCCCATTCTGACTATAAAAAGGGTCTCACCATCTGAACGGTCCATAGCTCACACATTTTCTAATGCTTTGGATCTTCTTCGTATACAGGAACTGGGAATGACAATGTCCTCAATGTGGCCAGGCTGCCAGTCATGAACAATCAAAACTGCAGTGCGGCACTTCGAGGCCATCTGAAGGAGAATGAGTTATGTACATCGCCACTGAAAGTTGGCGTGGGAGCCTGTGAGGTGAGCAGGGCAGGGAGGTGGGTTTGTACTGAACTGAATTGCTTGGCTTGCATTGAGATGAAGGTTGGTGACAGTAAAACTCCATCAAGTCACTGGCTGAGAGAAGTAAATATACAAATGAGAGGCCAACATCTGGAAAGTTGAATAGTAAAGAAAAGGGAAACGGCTTACAGAAAGGCCAGAAACGTCGTACCTCCAATAACCCCAGCCTAAGATGCTTAACAATTTGATAAAATGCTTTTAGTTTTGAAAAAAAAAAGGCTAATCTCCTAAATCACCTAATCTCGCAGTTTTACAATATTCATGTAAATATCTCAAGCTAGGCAATTTTGTGAGATTGATCTAAAAAAATGGAGACGGGCATGGGCATTTATGAGGTTGCATGATGCCCCCCTAAAAAGTTACCTGCCAACCTCTTGGTTGGTTTGTTTTTTTAAGATGAGCAGTGGGAAATAGTCCCCCAAAACATGAACTTAAAAGTGAAGCTGCGGATAAATGATTTCAAGGCAAAAAGGTTAGGGAAGCCATTTGAGAAAATGTCCGAGGTAGAAAACCAACCCATATACTTTGTGAGGTGTTGCTGTGCTCCTTAAGCTAGAGCTTGTTTTTGACTTGACTTGGTCTTTTTGTCTGTAGGGTGACTTTGGAGGTCCTTTGGCCTGCCTGACTCAAGAATGCTGGGTGCTACAAGGTGTGATCACCCCATTGCGGGTATGTGCTCGCAAAGACGTGCCTGCCACTTTCATCCGAGTCTCTATGTATGTTGACTGGATCAACAAAGTGATGAGGCTGAGCTGAACTGTTGTATATTTATCATAAATTCCTGCCCGTCTCTCTCTCTCCCTTCTCAGAATTAGTGTGGAGCAACCATGCTCATGTCATGTGAAAAGCACTGCCAAAAAAAGACTCTTCCAAAAGCTGACATCAGTAATGAGGTTTTTTTACTCCATTTTGTGGAGTTTATCTAAGAAGATCTGCAACAATTAATTGCTTATTATAGTGCATCTTTTGCTAGGCACTTAGCTGAAGAAAAGTTGATGATAATGACTATCATGGCTTCAAACATTATCAAATTTTATGAGAACAATGGAAGCATCCTCCGAGAAGTGTGAACCAATAATATACCAAAGTCCTGAACATATGACTAAGCTAATGTTCTTTAACTAACAGATTTAACAGATTAACTGAGTTAGAAGGGATCATGTACTGTAGGTCATCTAGTCCAACCCCCCCAAAGCAGGAAACCTTACACCCTCTCTGACAAATGGCAGTCCAATCTCTTCTTGAAAGCCTCCAGTGATGAAGCTCTCATAACTTCCGAAGGCAAGCTGTTCCATTGGTTGATTGTTCTCACTGTCAGAAAATTTTTCCTTATTTCTAGGTTGAATCTTTCCTTGTTCAGTTTCCATCCATTATTCCTTGTCTGGTTTTCAGGTGCTTTGGAAAATAGCTTGACCCCTTTCTTTCTATGGCAGCCACTCAAATATTGGAAGACTTCTGTCATGTCTTCCCTGGTCCTTCTCTTCATTAGATTAGCCATGCCCAGTTCCTGTAACTGTTCTTCATATGTTTTAGTCTCCAGTCCCCTAATTATCTTGGTTGCTCTTCTCTGCACTTTTTCTAGAATCTCAACATCTTTTTTATAGTGTGGTGACCAAAACGGGATGCTGTATTCTAGGTGTGGTCTTACCAAGGCTTTCTAGAGTGGTATTAGTACCTCACTTGATCTTGATTGTATCCCTTTATTAATGCAATTTAGGATTGCATTGGCCTTTTTGGTTGCCACCACATACTGTTGGCTCATATTTAACTGGTTGTCCACTAAGACTCCAAGAACCCTGTCACAGTTACTGCTATTAAACCTGGTTTCACCCGGTCTATATGTGTACTTTTGGTTTTTCTTCCCTAAGTGTAAGACTTTACTTTTCTCTACATTGAATTTCATTTTGTTAGATAGGACCCAGTGTTCAAGTCTGTCAAGATCCATCTGGATTTTGAGTCTATCATCTAGGGTGTTAGTTATTCCTGCCACTTAGTTTCACCTGCAAATTTGGTAAATTCTCCTTCTATTCCCTCATCTTAGTCATTTATGAAGATATTGAAGAATATTGAAGGGCCTAAGATGGAACCTTGTGGTACCCCACTGCTTACTTACTTACTTACTTAGACCCATTCAGGACTACTCATTGAGTATAGTATCAGCCAGTTGCGAATCCATCTGGTGGTGATGCTATCTATCCCCATCTAATAATGTATTGCATTATTAAATCATCCACATCCTTTTAATAGGACTGGTTGGTTGTTATCCATGAGTATCAGCTCTTTCAGTGAATATATTCATGGGCAGAAGTTTCAATATGTAAGACTTTAACCATAGCCGCCTCATTGGAACAGGTCTTGGCTTTATATTTCACATGGACATTGTCTGCAATTTCTTTTTTCTACCATCAGCATTAAAAGTTCAATTGAGGCTGAATATCCTCCAGATTTAAAGAAATATGGCTGCCCTTAGAACACATGTACCATTTCCAAGTCCTGGGATAATTTCTGGAAAATAGGTTCTGGAGACTTTCAGTGTGGTTTTCTGAAAATTCGTTCCCTCTTTTGTTATCACTTGGGATCTGGTGTTCTCCAGATGTCAAAAGGTTACAAATCATAGACAAGTGTTCATGGGAGCTATTGTCCAAGGCAGCTGAATGTAATCAGCCTCTTTATCCTCTGAACCAGCATATGAGACATCATACCATATCTATTTTTGCAGTCCAGACATTCAGTTTTTAAAAATGTTAATGATTAATGTATTGGTGCATTATGGGTCTGTTAACCTGTATGTGGTTCAAGTTTTTTTCACATCTGAAATGACATCTCCGTAGTGCAGGAAAAACCTAACCGTTTTTCTATTGTAACAGTATAATATTTCTATGTTATTCTCTGAAATACTATTTCTCCAGTAACATATAAATTATAGCCATCACAAATGATTGTACTGCATTTTATCTCTCTTATGTAATCACAGTTATATTGTTTGTAGCAACTGCATGCCAAATTTTATGTAGCCATTCTTATATAGGCTTAAATTTTGATATAAGAATTTTGATATACTGACATTTTGATATACTGTCATTTTTACTGTAACATCATTCATATCATTAAAGAAATCCTGGCTTTGGAAATAAGATATAGGATGATTTGTAGCAGATCATCATGGGTTTTGGACACTGATCTAGCACACCAAAATCTAAATGGTTTTCTGGCCCTCCTCTTTAAAAAGCCAGTATTTGGAGAAACCCAGCAGCAGGGTTTTGAGTGAAAGGATATCTGATCTTATTTGAATATTAGTTACCAATCGATGAATATGTTGAGACAAACTCAGCATATCTTTAGTTTCATTTTCCTTTCATGGCACTGCACAGAACTTTGTATCTGATCATTATTTTCAATTCAACAAATTGAAATTCTCTCGAATAAATAATTACAGAAAATCATAAGCTACAAGGCTTCCCCTTCCAAAGAGACACTAAAAATCAGTATCTGAAATCCAGTTCTCATGTATATTTTTCTAACTATAGGTTATGCGTTGATGAAAATATTTAATGTCAAATATATATATCTTTAAAAACCTTGCTGGGGTTAAAAATGACTTAACCACTAGTCTTATTGTGTTCTGACCAAGGCTTCCAAGACCGTAATTATATGCACCCTTATTTTTTAAAAAAGTCTTGTTTTATTGCAAGGCTGGGAATTATTTTTATTCCCAGCCGGTAATGAATCTCAAACAGTCCCTTGAGATAAGCACTCACCTTTCTTTCCTGTGAAGTGCTGCCAATAATAGAAGTGTCCAATGAACTAGAAAAAAACCCAACCGAAGTACAAAGAGCTTCAAGAATGAATCTGAACCGAACGAATGACTTTGCTTCCTGCAAATGTTTCATCATCTTTGCCTGTCCTTTATATCTTATGGGAGGGGCAATCACCTCCCAGCCTTACTCCCGAGTCGCCCCTTTTGTTTCAGCTGCTCTCACCTTCTAGCAGTTCTGCGCACATGCGCACTGGGAACAGGCTCCCCTTGTTCCTCTGCCTTGCTGTTGCCACACTCCAAAGGCTCCGGAAGCAGCACCTCACTCCCAGATGGTCCTGGCCCTATCTCTGCATCAGATGCAGGACCCTCGTCCGAGTTCTCTCCAGATTCCCGGACTGATCCCCTTTCTTTCCCACTGTCCAATTTTGCTGCCGTCTGCACAGGCTGCCGGCAAACCACAACACTGCATTTCCTCCCAGTCCCTGATATTAGGAACAGAAACAAGTCATTGCAACTAAATTGCCTCCTAACCAAATTAAACATTTGCCTCACAGTATTACTCACATTCATTGTATATAAACAAGTACAGTATTTAGAATTGTGGATCAATCTATATTCAAAGGGCAGAGAGGTGATTTGGAATGTATGGAGGACTGATGCCGCATTTGTCACTATCACATGTGCCTGGATCTTGTGCAACTCCAAGAAAAGATGCAGTTTCAAGAATTTACTGACATGATAGATCATGAGCAGACCTGAATATGTCAACTCATTATTTTTGCTTCAAAAAGCAAACAACAAAACCAAAACAACAATCCTACTCTCTATTGGCATCTCAATTTCAAAGAAGGAAATTCCAGCCTTACTTTCAGATACCAGATGAGTACCCTTATATCTTACCAAAGGTCAGGAAAGTCTGTTTCTAAAGGACTAAGAAGAAAGAACATTTTCCAATGTAAATTAAGCTGCTGCTCCTGGGTACATTCAAGATCTCTCCTATTTCTGATGCTGTCTTTTCCTCTTACATTTATTGTAAATGCAGACGTTATTTAAAGGTTGGAAGGTAGTCTATAATTATATATAGCTTATGTTCAAGATGATAGATTCCTCCTATTGCCGTCATCTAGAACAAACCTTTCAGGAACAAGAACCACAGCCAAACTGTGCTCCCCACTTCTCCTCAAAGATGGTGCAAAAGAATAATATGGTTAATGCTATCAAAAGCTGCTGAAATAAAGGTTGAGGGTTTCACATTATCTGATCCTGATCTTTCCAAAGGCAATCCACAAGTGTGACCAATACCGTTTTTGTGCTATATCCTGACAGCCAAGTGTCCATCTGCCTCTTCTTGGATCCTTCCTTACCTCAAGGTTGCCCTTATGTTTACTCCCAAGTTTGAGTCAGCATGGCAGAGTCATAGATCACACTTAGATCTTGTTGACTGTCTTCTTTGGAACTTTACTCTATTTTCCTCAACCCCACCAAGACCCTGCCAATTCACTTCCTGTGTGTGAGATGGTGTTACAGCTTCATAAGAGTCCATCACTAGTGAATGAGTTTATCATTAATATCTATGGTAAACATAAATATTTGTATTTATTGATAGAGGAAAATGATAGGCATTTTCCATCAAAGTTTCTAAAAGCAATAAACATTTAATCAGAGAACTGGGAAAGAATAAAAACAGTCTTTGATATTTATTTATTTGTTTGTTTATTAAATGTGTTTATCCCTCATGGTTCAGGAAATTCTGAGTGGATATCATTAACCATTCATTAATCATCAAAATATCATTAATGCCGAGACATGCTCATATATAAAACCAACCCACTAAAAGTATTCAGTTGCAAATGAGAAGCTTTATTAGAGACTTTTCTTTGGATTATGTCAGCATATCTATTTATTCAAATAAACAATTTGATTGATTATATTAGTTTAGCAATCTAATAGTACAGCTTTTTTGCAAGGCCAGTTATCAGACATCAATTTTTCAATCAGAATTAGGATTTGAGTAGATATTTGTAACATTATCAGCAGAATTACTCAAAAACATTCTGAAGGGATTATCAGCAGAGAGGAATCTTCAGATACCCACAATCTGATTGCACATTGGGGGAAAAAACCAACGCCTGACACATTGTGAAGATCACTGTAGTGCAACTGGATATACATAAACACAGTTTGCTTCTCAGCAATTTAGATGTCTTCATATTTAGTTGGCAGTTGACTTTCAATCTATCTTTTGGAGAGATGATGTGTGATCCACTGGGCACAGTTCATGAAGACATCTGCTTCAGCTACTACTCCACTTAAGGCATGATTCTCTTCTGGATACCACATCAGTCTGTAAAAAGGAACATCGGTAAAGTGTTTTGCAAAAGTTCTTTCTTAGAAGTAGGTTGTTACGAGGTAGTTTTTCATTACCATTTCTTTGGCATGTTTTAAAAATATTCCTGGACTGCTTTGGGAAATTCTTTGCTTTGACTGACAGTAAAGACAGTACAGTATTGACAGTACACTCATTTTAA